TACATACCTACATACATATATACATACATACATACATACGTACGTACGTACGTACGTACGTACATACAATATATATATATATATATATATATAATATACGTTATATAAACATACGAATGAGTATCTTTCGTGATACTATGTACTACATACATACCTCACTATCATCCACCATCTGTGTCACTGCCTTATATAGGCCCGTGATTTCAATATCGCGCCAAGTCTGAGAGCACGACACCGACAGCGACGCGACATTCTGGGCAGACACCGATAGACCCCTCAGAAGACAGGAGTACAGCCCCTGCACGAGAATGCTCTCGCGTGCACTAGCTATCTGCTGGCTGAGCTTCTCCAAGGGTTCTGATACGCCGTCTATAAATAGAATGGAGCAAACTATAATTAGAATGGGGTGAGAGAGCGAGACCCTTCTGAAGACAGGAGTCCAGCCCCTACACGAGAATGTTCTCGAGTACACTGGCTGTTGATCTTCTCCAGAGGTTCTGATACGGTGTCTACTAATAGATTAGAGCAGACTATAACTAGAATGGTGGTGAGACCTCTCAGATGACAAAGGCAAAATCCGTGCACTACAAGCTCTCGTGCACATATAGACATTTACACATCGATACTAATACCCCTATATTCGCATATAACCTACCTCATAAATACACATACAGATACTTATACATCGAAACTAATACCATATACACATACAGACACTTACACATCGATACTAATACCCATATATTCGCATATAACCTACCTCATATATACACATACAGATACTTATACATTGAAACTAACACCATATACACATACATCGATACTAATACCCATAATTCGCATACAACCTACCTCATGCATACACATACACATCTTTATACTCACCATACGGATCCAGCGGCACATTGAGCGGTTGTCTGCTCACCCCCGCCACCCAGCTCTGCACCATGTGCTCTGGTGATTCGTATTCCATGTCCAGTTCAAAGGCGCCTCTTGCGCACTCATGTAAATATATCTCCAGATGCTTCACGCTCGCCACCTTGCCGGTAAACAGATCTTGGTTGCTAGGCAACGGATACTCCGTGTCGAGGCGCGACGATGAGCGTCGGCCGCCGTCCAATAGCGACTGCGAAACGGGGTGAGTGTGTATGTGATTGAATGATGAGTAGATGCTAATGCGTGCATGTAAGAGGGGTGTGTATGTAATTGTTGTTTGCATGTAAGAGAGTGTGTGTATGTGATTGAATGAGTGAGTAGATGCTAATGCGTGCATGTAAGAGAGGTGTGTATGTAATTGTTGCTCGTATGTAAGAGTGTGTGTGTGTGTAATTGAATAAGTGAGCAGATGTTAATGCTTGCATGTAAGAATGGTTGTGTATGTGACTGGATGGGCGTTTGTAAGTACTTACGTTCGAGTCATATTGCAATAGCGACTACATAGTACAGTTGTGTGTGGGTTCACAAATAATGGCCAAATATGCATGCGAAACTCTATAGCACATACACAGCTGTATATAACCCCATCCCAGCACGCTCTACTACACATGAAAATATGCCTACGACTACTCAAACAAGACCGGACAATGGGTATCTCCAAGTGACAGTACGTGTTGAAAAGACTATCAACAAGTGCACTAGTTTACTTGCCCGCCTCCACATACTTCGTGTACGTGTACGTGTACGTGTGCGTGTACGTGTACGTGTACGTGTACGTGTACGTGTACGTGTACGTGTACGTGTACGTGTACGTGTACGTGTACGTGTACGTGTACGTGTACGAGTACGTGTAAGAGTATGTGTATGTGTACGTAAAAGTGTGCGTGTACGTGTACGTGTGCGTGTGCGTGTACATGTACGTGTGCGTGTGCGTGTGCATG